TTCTTTCTCATGATGGTTTTTATGTTATTTTTATCCTATAGCTTACCCAATTTTATGTAATCTGCTAATTCGATAAACATTCCCTGTTCCCTTTTGTCCAGGACTGACTTTTATCCCAGCTCATTTATTAGCTCACTCCAGTTTAATGAGGGACCATTAAAAAGCACATTCTGAACTTAATTCTTGAACCAGCTATGTATTCAGTTAATTGCTATGCCACGTAACCACAGTTAATTAGCTGAATAGAATGTCATGGATATTTTGTCAAATTCAGAATAAGATTATCTAGTGGAGATTTGTGTTTGACAAATCCATGCTGATTTCTGGTAAATATTACATTGTTTTTAGGTTGCCTACAAATAATTCTGTTTCTCATCTGTTCTAGAACTTTCCCAAATGGTGATGCGAGGTTGATTTATCTTTAATTTTCCATATCTGCCCTCTGTTTTTTAAAGTTGGAAACAACATTTGCATCATCTCAGATATATCAAAGTTACTATATAAAATGACAACCATCAATTAGTTTCTTTAGTGCCATATATATATTCTACAGGGCAAGTCTGAAAAACAGGATAAAGAGACACAAATGTAACTTGGAACTAACTGAAACAGGTTTATAGAGTATTTCCACTCTGAATGAGTTTAAGTACTCAAAACAAAATGAATACACACACACACACACACACACACACCACACCATGTTACGATGGCAGTTCTAGTAGTTCTGGTTGCAGTCATTCAGTGAATTGCAACTTATGACTTCCTACCAATTTCCCCATTGACTTAGCTTTGTTGGAAGCTGGGAATGAAGGTTGCAAATAGTGATCACATGACCATGGGATGCTGCACTCAAAACATGATCATGTGATTGCCAGAAAGCAGTGACGGCTGCAATTTGGGACAGTCATAAAATCTTGTTAAGTACTATCATAAATTTGAACATTCACTAAACGCGTGTTTGCTAAGCAAGGACTATCTATACATTTTTCACTAAACACTGGAAATAGGAGTTGATGATATTTTAATGTCTTCATTGAGTACCAAGTATATTGATTCTTTTCTTTTCTATTTGAACTTATTTAAGAAGCTCCCCATTTTTGTTCTTTGCATCCTTGATCAACCTCAGCTCATTTGGAGTCTTACAATTCCGGATACCTTCTTTATTGTTCTAGATTACTTGTTGTGTACAGTACTCCTTCTTGAGAATCTGGATCTCTTTCCACCTCTTTATATGTATCCTTTTACCCCCTCTACACTAGGGAAAGTACATTAGTACTTTCTGCTATATTTTTTTCCTCATGGGAATTATTTGAAATTGTGCTTTTATTATTCCCTTTTTAAAAGAATGTTCATTCATCTTGAGCTCCTTTTTCTATTAGGTTCTCTTATCATGCAATTCCCATTTCTCAATTCATTAAAATATACTTTTTTACAGTCCAAGGTATATGTTCAACTGCACTTGCTTTTAATTTCTCTTATAATCAAATAGTTGAATATTACATAATTGTTTTCTTCCATATTCTTATTTCTGTTTCCTAGTATTGGGCCTTCCGTATTGGTTGCTATCTATGAAGGAAATCAGATCCTTGTTTTTTCCCCCAGCCTCAGAAGAAAGTTAAATGATACATGAATTTCTAAGTTCCAAGAAAAATACAAAAGTGAACTTTATACAATTGAAATGCATAAAGTCTAACCACTAGATGGAGTAATATTTCATAGTTTCATACAATTCAAAGATTTCAGATTTAAATTTGAAAGATTTAAGATTTAAATGGAAAGATTTAAGGTTTATACAACTTAATAATTAAAGTGAAATATTTGCTTATACTTAAATATATTTTTATAAAGATGTTTATAAAAGTTTAAACATTTATAAATACACAAGTTTCTTACTGAAACTCATATACTGTAATTTCTTACTGAATATTTTGGTGAAAAGTAAAAACATCTTAGGTCTCTGTTTTTTAATAATATATCTATTAGAATGTCTTTTATATGCAACTTGGTCTTATGGATAAGCAATCTTAATGCTAGGTGTTCACTCTATAATGTGCAATATAAATGGTTGAAAAGAAAAAGTAATATTGACTTTTTGCTTCCCACACAAAAGATAAAATAATATTATCATGTCACATGCAATTCAGAGATATTTTTAATACATGTTATTTATTATCATTCTCCTATAGATTTGCTTCCTCAAGCTGTTGAGTATCCTTCCTCCCATTGGTTAAAATGAGAATATTTAGTTTTAGTTTTCATTTAAGACATTTTGGAGTTTTAAACTTTTGTACTATTACTATTAATGTTGTTACATATTTGCTATATATCAGGATTTATCTGTCCCTTTCTCAAAATGCTAATAATGAGCAGAAGGATCGATATCTGAAAATATCTACTAACGTCCTTTTTATAAAAGAGCTGGGGTGGCACACTGATTAGAATACAGTATTTCAGGCTGACACTGTTCACTGCCAGGAGATTGATGAACAAGTAGAAAGAAAGAGGGAATATCTACTTTCTGTTAAGTAGTGTTTTGTGGTCACCATGGGTGCCATTTTTTCACTATATATACGTCATGATACCAAAACTTCAAATTCGTTGCCTACATCTGCTGAAAGATTTAAGTATCATCTGGATATTTCAAAAACTGCTAGATGTAGACTTTTGATGCAACTGCCTCTGTTCTGCAAGGCTAGGCACAGGTCTTTCTCAGATAAGGAGTGGTGCTTTGCATCATAGTATGTCAGATTCCTACCTATTGGCACAAAGGGATACTTGAACATTATCATTTTGGCTACACCTAATCTTTGCAATCGTTCTGGAGGCTGCTGAATAGAGCTTGCTGACTAGTTTGGAAATTTTGTTTTAATTCATCTATCAGGACAGGGGACATGGTTTGGTCTCTAATAGTTTCAAATGAACAGTTCAAATATGAGAGCAATTCGGAAATAAACCTCCATTTGGTTATCAATGACAGACACTCGCAGATACAGAACTTTTATTATACACCAGAAGTCAGCATGCCCGATGCTTGTTATGAATGGCTCGTCTGAGTTTTCATAATATTTCGCAGTAGACTTCTGAATTGATGGTTGAACCACACTCCATGAACTTCACTAGCAGTACTCCTCTGGCATCTTCACATTTGTGGGATTCTCTGTGGCACCACTTCCCCTGTGGTGTTGGTTCACAATAATGCTTGTCTGCATGCCGCTAGATGCACCCAAGAACTTTTGAAGCAGTTCCGTTGGGATGTTTTTGATCACCCAGATTTTGATAACCCAGATTTGGCACTGAGCGACTACTACTAAAGAATTTCAAACCTTGTAAGACGTTATGACAAGTGCCTTTATTTGAATGGACTTTATGTCGAAAAGTAATGTAATATTGTATTTTTCTAATATGTATAATAAAAGTTCTGTATCTGCGAGTGTCTGTCATTGATAACCAAATGGAGGTTTATTTCCGAATTGCCCTCGTAACCAAATTCTGGCTGAGTACTGCTAAGATGGTAGTGATGGAGATGGAGAAACAACATAACTCTCTTATATGTTGATTCCTAAGTGGACTTTAGGAATGCAACCAAGCTCTGAAGAAGTTGGTCAGACTAAATTGTAGTAGTCTCCACTGTATCAGAATTAACATACTAGCTAAACATTTTTAATAAGCTAATATTAGCAAATCAAATTAAATAAAATCTTTAATTTAGTAATAGACCAACATAGCATTACACAATCAGCCCAACAATTTGATTAGAACAGAGTAGTCAAAACTAGAAACATTGGACTGAATATTACAGTAAAATAACAGAATAAGTCAAAATGTTTATTTTCACAAAGATTATAACTTTGAAGATGTAAATGACTATTACTATTAGTTCTAATACAATAACTCCATAAGTACCATTAAATTTGTGTTTTAAGCATAAATCTGTGTTTTAAGCATAAATTACATAGACCAGTGTTTCCCAAACTTGACAATTTTAAGGCATGAGGACTTCAACTCCCAGAATTCCACAGCCAGCAACGCTGGCTGTGGAATTCTGGGAGTTGAAGTCCACATGCCTTAAAATTGTCAAGTTTGAGAAACACTGACATAGACCAAGAAGTAAACTTAAATTAAAATTTAATTTTATTAGAATAATTACATTAGAGGCAGTGCTTAATGTAAACATTTAATTGAGTCATTAATGAAAAAATTGTCAGAATTAGATCTGGAAATTAAATAGTAAGAAATAGGAAATTAAATAGAAAATAGTAAAAATATAAAAGGTGATTTGATATTTTGAAAATAACATTTTCTAAGAAATAAAAACCAAGCTCATATCATGACTTTAAATATGTATTTTTCTGCTTCACAATCTGTGGCATGCTTAATCAGCTATATGAAACAATTTTTAGGTTGAGACCTTATGCAAAGAGAAAATGTGGTTTGCTTGGTTTTGGCTTTGTGTATTGTGTATTGTGTCAGACCAGCCACTGTGGTTTATGTATTATTGGTATATCGGTAACATTAGGTGAAAACCCAGACATTGTGACCTATTCAGCAAACCAGGTCTTCACATATTGAAGTGTGATTTGAAAAAGAATGGAGTCCTCTACAGATCCACCTAAGAAATGGGTTATTCCTGGGTTCACAAATATAGTATTGTCTCTGTAAACAATAATTAAGCTTCCTTTAACTCTGTAGAAATTGCTTCTCAGGTAACATTTATAGAATCTTACAGTTTTCTTTATTTGGAAATGTATGAATGAAAAAAATAACCTACATTCTTTCATATTCCAGTAACTGCAATGCTGCTAACATTGAATTTATTTGGAAAAGTTTTTTTTAAATGCTTAATTGTCTGCTCTCTAGTGGTTTACTATGTGCAGTGCAGACATAACTGGATATTTAAAATAAGCTTCACAGTTGCATCTATCAAATAGTTCCTATAGCAGCAACAGATGGGCATATCTCCTGCATCTCTTTTTGTGCAAGGGCAAATGTTCTTGCAGCAGGAATATTAACATCCCCCATCCTTTCCAAATCCAGCACCTCAATATTTAGGTTGAGAAGAAAATTGCCTGCTGGTGCAGATTCTAAGCTGAGCATTCTGGGAGAAGATTTTCTTGCAGCAGATGAGAGAATACTTTGTGCCTGGCACTAGGAGCTGCAGTAGGGTGCTTTTTTTCTTTTTCTTTTTTGGCTTCAGAAAGATTTGAGAACATTAACAAATGGAAATCAAGGCAGCTTAGTTAGGAATGCTGGATTTTTTATCTGTTTGTTTTTCGAGCATTTTAGAAAGGATTCTGCTAGGCATGGCTGCATTATGAGGTGTGGCTCTTCCTGATATCTTCAAAGGATTTTTGGCATTCTTCTACATAAGCGTAGAATATAGTGGTATTAAATCTTAATAGATATATACTGCTGGAGTGGCTGAAGAAAACCATGCTAGTGAAATAAAGGAATATATTTTGGAAACAAATACATTAGCTGGAAGGGCTGGCTGCAGAGAAATTGTAATGGGTTGCACGACTAGTGTTATTTTATTTAAAGGTATTCGTACAGTTATTGAGAGAAACTGTTCATATATTTGCAAACATCAAAGAGAAAATAAAGCTCTGGAATATACAGCAAATAGCTTAACAAAAGAAGACTCTGGGATACTGATCCATTCATTTTTGGTAAATGTTGATGTGCTTCATTAAGATATTTTAAATTAATTTTATATATTTTGTATCTGGTTCTTTTGAAATTCTCCACCCATTCTGAGTCCGTTGCTATTGAACCTTTACTATTTTAATAATAGTACAACATGATAAAATGCTGCTGATACTATTTGTAAGAAATATTTTTAGTAAAACATTGATTTTTTTCTCAGAATGTCTATGCAGTACTATTTTTAGCATTCTCATTGTTGTTTGATGAATATCCAAAGCATGTGTCTGAAAAAGAAGATATTTCTAATTATAATTGTAGTAAAAGCTAGACGAATACAGTAAAACAAGGTATTCCTTTCTATATAGATGATGTGCTTCTTGTAAAGATAAGCAAAGCATTTAGAAGAAAGAGCTTTTCGAGTATATTTTATTTTTATAATGAAGTGCAGATATAGCATAAGAAACTTGTTAAATAGTGCATATTTAGCAATCTGTGATGTATCTTGGCATTGGGCGTATTGTATTAGCATTTGAGGGAGTGGTAATGTAGTATCTGGTAATTTATTAGTGTAGACAATCCATGTACATAACAAATATGCATTTTAACGTCTTTTGAAAATAATGAATATGGTGCAGTAATGATTATTTTATTAAGCCTGATTTGACAAAAAATATGTTAACCTAAAGGGAAGTTAATTAGACAAAATCTTTATTATGAGTTATTTTTAAATTCTCTCAACATTTTTTTTTACTGTATGCTTTACTTTATGTGAACAATAGTTTTGAAAAAAGATGCACTGAACATTAAGATATCCATGAACCTAAAATAGTCTTAGCATAGTTGTTATAATATTTATTAAGATGGTTATCAACTGCCTTTCTGACCAAAGTCATTTCTATGAAGATACATATTTTTTTAAAACAAGAGAATTATGTTAAGTACAGAGTAAACTATTTTTAAATAATACAAAATAGGAATTCTCAAACCAGTTCAAATAAAACAATATTGATACTCTACTAACAGAAAAGCTACCTACTATTTGGGTAAGAAATGCTATAATCTCTGTGTTTCCATGCTATCATTTCACTAACTTTTATTGTGCTGCAGTTTACAAATAGCCCTTGACTCATGACTGTAACTGAGGCCAGAACTACAGTCATAAGTCATTATAGTTGCAAGTCGGGACATCCATCTGACTGGAAGTAATTTATAGTCTTTATTGTGGCAGTTGTTAAGCAAATGCCACACTTGTTAAACAAGCCCATTCATTTGAATAGATGTCCCCCCCCCCCCGCCGCCAAAAAATGGCAAACCCTCCCAGGAATCACAGTCATGTGACTATGAAATGCTTTAATGGGTTGTAAAGCTGACTTGGCATGTTGTCATGTAACCACAGCGAATAGCACAACCAGGGGCTCTTTATGGGCCATTAAAACACTTGTTGTGTGGCTGTTGTAACTTTGAATGGTCATTCAAAATTCGGCAATTTGAGTCTCACCTGTTCAGAGTTGACTCAGCCTTCCATCCTTCCAAGGTCTGTAAAACGAGGACCCAGATTGTTGGGGGCAATTTGCTGACTCTGTAAACCATTTAGAGAGGGCTGTAAAGCACAGTGAAGCAGTATGTAAGTCTAGTGCTATTTTAATTGCTATTCAGCAAGGACCACCTGTACAACAAAGTATTTGAGGAAGCTTGTAAATTGATTTTGGGGTATCCTGGTTACAAATTTTATAGCCAATTACTTACATTTTGAAAAAGTATCATTTGTATATATTATAAATATGATATAGTATAATGCCAGTTTGGTCTAGTAGTTTAGGCATCAGGTTAGAAACCATGAGAGACAGAGTGCTAGTCATTCCTTAGCCATAACAGCTGGCTGGGGACTTCGGGCCCTCTCTGTCTCTCTGTCTCTCTCTCTCTCTCTCTCTGTCTCTCTCTCAGCTCAACTCACCTCAAATGTGGTTGTTGTGGAGAAAATAGGGGGAAGGGGTATTAGGTATGTTCACCACCTGGAGTTATTTATAAAAATAATAAAGGTGGGATTAAAAAAAAATAAAAAATTGTTTTATACTATTTACAAGCAATATATTATAGAGAACAATCCAGTACACATAGTATTCAACTTGTGACTGTAATGGAGCCTGCCATCATGATGGTCATAAAACAGGTCAGGCACAAGACTTACCCAATTTTATGATGGTTTTTGCAGCAGTTGGTAAGTGAATGCTGGAGTAATTCAATGAATCAATGGTTCACTATGGGTGCGGTTTTGCTGAAACTTTACATGCTGGTTTTCAGCAAAATTGTCATAAAACATGATCACGTGACTGCGGAATGCTGCATATGTCTGTAAATGTGATCCAGTTGGCAACACCTGAACTTCAATCACGTGACTGTGGAGGAAGGGTGTCGTAAGTTTGAATCTGGATTGTAAGTAACTATCAGTGACCATTCAAAGTTACAGTGGCACCGAAAAAGTGACTTATGACCTTTTTTCACTCTTACGACTGTTACAGTATCCCCATGGTCATATGATCAAAATTCAGACGCTTGGCAACTGACTCATATTTATGATGGTTGCAGTGTCTCAGGATCATGTGATCACATTTTGTGACCTTCTGACAAGCAAAGTCAATGGGGAAGCCAGATTTACTTAACAACCATGTTACTAATGTAATAATTGCAGTGATTCACTTAACAACTGTGACAAGAAAGGTCATAAAATGGGCAAAACTCATTTAACAATTGTCTTGCTTAGCAACAAAAATTTGGGGCTCAATTGTGGTTGTAAGTCAAGGACTACCTGTATAGCAACTGGTGCTCTTCAGTTTGGGACAAAATGTCATGAGAGACACATTTGAGAGAGACAAATAAAAAATATGCAAACATAGGTTACATGAAAAATGAGAGTTTTTTCTACTTTTACAATTAGATCATCTGTTGAAAAGTTAAATTTGGATATTAGCAGTTGTGGTAATGGCAGTCAATTTGAATAATGTCCTGCTTTAAGGCCACTGTCTAGAGGCACAAAAGCTCTCAGTGGGTTTTCTAATTTTATTAGAATTCAGTACAAAGTATCATTTCAGAAGTGTTATTTCTTTTATTCAAACCACCAGACCAAAACCAAATATTTGTTAAGCATTTACTTTCAGTTTCCAAGCCACATTCTTTAGAAGAGCAAACAAGGTTTATTTATGGCTAGAGACTCCAAGGTTGAGTTCTTTTGTCTCCTTCCTATTTTCAAATATGGCACAATGACTTGAAATACTAAACCGTGAACTTTTCCCCCCTCTACTTTACTTACTACTAACTAATTTCAAATTAAAGAAGAACATATCGGTGCTGGTAGTTGTTTCCCCTTTTGAGTTAGGCTGATTTCTGGCTGTTCTCTGGTTGGTAAAACCTTTGATCTTCTCTCATCTTCAATCCCTGAGAAACCATCTATGATGAGGAGCCAAATCCCACTGGCACTTCCTTCTTTTATGTTTAAGGATCTTCCAGGGCTTGCTGTCTTTCTCTGTGTGAATTTCAGGTCATAAACCAACTAACAATTTAAGTACTGCCCAATTCACTGTACCCATCGCACTTTAAAAGCCAGAGCCCCTAGGTCCATCTTACCTGCCAGCCTTTGCCTTCATTCTCTACTTACTTGTACCCAGAGCACCTGTGGTAAATTTAAGACTCTGCCTCTAGTTTTATTTATTTAACACTTTTATATGGGCACTGATTTTAAGCCAAAAAACAGCAGTCCCCAACCTTTACGGCTTGGCGGCCCGGTGGGGAGGGAGAGGAGAACTGGCCAGCCACTTGGGCAAGTCAAGCTGCACATATGCGCATTGGCCTGCTGTTTGCGCAAGTTGAGCTCCATGTGCCCGCAATGCACCGGACAACTGCTTGTGCAGCCTGGGGACCCCTGCCCTAAAAAACAAAACAACTCTTTAAAACCCTAGCCTAAAAATGTAATTGAAAAGGGAAGTTTTTTAAAGGAACAGGTTCATGGAAAATCAGGTTTTCAGTAGCTATTTGTGTTGATGGCTGTTTACTGTCTCTTGAATCATAGGTAGTCTGCCTTAAATACTGATTGCTTGGAAGTGGAAAGAGGCTACTGTCTTGTAGTTGAAGCTTGTTATCTTTTTCGGTGCATCCAGTTGGTCGCTGCGCAATACATAACAATCAAAGATTTTCACCTTGACTATTTATTTCTTAACCAGTCTTTCAGGTCTTCCAATGCTTGACTCATCACCATTGTAATTGCGTCTATTTACTTTGCTGCTTGATCATCCTTCTCTTTTTCTTTCCACCTTTGCAAGGTTAAAGATTGTTCTAAATTATCTTTCACATCTGGGGGTTACAGGTAGTCCTCAACTTATAACTGTCAAAGCAAGAATTGCTAAATTGATCCCCAAATTTCTGTGGCTAAGCGACACATTTGTTAAATGAACTTTGCTCCATTTTACAACCTTCCTTGCCACAGTTGTTAAGTGAATCACTGTAGTTGTTAATTTAGTAACAGGATTGTTAAGCTTCCCAATTGACTTTGCTTATTAGAAGATCGCAAAAGTTGATCACATTACTCCGAGACACTACTACTGTCATAAATATGAATGAAAAAAATGGTCATAAGTCAAGTCACTTTTTTCAGTGCCGTTGAATTTCAAATGGCCAGTAAATGAAATGTTGTAAGTTGAAGACTATGTGTACTAGTAAATATTGAAAGTATTAGCAATAGCACTTAGACTTATATACTGCTCCATAGTGCTTTATGGCACTCTCTGAGTGGTTTACAATGTCATTGTATTGCCCCCAACCATCTGGGTCCTCATTTTATCAACCTTGGAAGTATGGAAACCTGGGTCAACCTTGAGCCCCATCAGGATCAAACTCCAGATTGTAGGCAGAGTTAGCCTGCAATACTGCATTCTAACCACTACTCCACCAGGGCTCCTAGGTATCGCAAGTAGAATGCTGTTTGTGTGTGTTTGTATGTATGTAGCCAGAACCCACAAAATATATGTGGCAG